GACAAGCTGCTCGATAGATAGCTTGTTCCCTGAGGGTACCACTGTGGGTTCAGGGATGTCTGGAGTGCCCCGAAAGCTTGTCTGGTTTGTGACGGGCCCCGGGGCTGGGCCCTCTTCCCGTTTCTTGACTGAGTTGAGGTTAGTGGCTTTCCATCTATATCTGAAGTTGATCTGCAGTCTCTAGCCCAATGGAGCCCTTTTCTGCATCTTGGACAGATGCCTGGAGGTTTCTGTCCCGGGCCTCTTCCCTTACATTCCTTTTTAAAATGTCCTGACTTGCCACAGTTATAGCAGTTCCCTTTACCTTGTAGCGCGCCAGCTATGGCTAGCCCTATTTGCTGCACTTCTGTTACATCTCTGCAAAGCCTCAGGTAGTCAGTGATTTCTCTATGTTTATGTGGTCTGAGGATATCCTGGCAGGCCTTGTTAGCGTTTTCAAAGGCTAACGGCTTTATAATGGGCAAGGCCTCTTCATGACCTCCAAACAACTTATTGGCTGTCTGGAATAGTCTGTCCACGAACTGTGCAAACGGTTCGTTTCCTCCCTGCATCACTTTAGACAGCGTTCCTCCTACTTCCTTGTTTGGAATGCGCCCCCAGGCTGCTAGAGCTGCAGTGGTGATCTGAGCATATGTCCCTGCTGCATATCCTACTTGGGCCTGGAGGGTCTCATACTGTCCTCGACCCGAGAGCATATCCAGGTCTATGTGGGGCTGGCCTGACCGCGCGTTCATGGCCGCAGTCTGCCTACATGCATCCTCATAGTCAGCTCTCCACAAGAGATAATCTCCTCCTGAAAGCCCTGCCCTAATCAATTGTTTCCAATCCCAAGGGGTTAAATTTTTATATCTGTATCCCTCTAGGATAGATCTCACTAGGGCCGACTGTGGACCATACATGGACACAGCCTCCTTCAACTGTTTGAATTCTTTTATGGGTATAGACTGATGATACCTTTGCTGATTCTGCTCAATCACGGGGGCTATGAATTTCACTCCCCCTGAGACTTCTGTTGACTTGGTATGATCCTCATACGGATCTGTCCATAGGGCCATGTTCCCCTGATTTGTACTTGGGGGATCCGGCGGGTCTTCTAATGGTAAAAATGGGTTGCTCATGTACTGTGGGAGAGGGGGTTTCACCCGCCTGGACAATTTTAATTGTAACCTTTCTATTTGTTCTCGAATCTGCTCTTCCATCTCCTCCTCCTCTCCTGCTGTTTCCCGCAGCTGCGACAGGTCCGGATACAGACCCGGGCCTCCCTCTGGCTTTTCTTGTGTAGTTTCCCCACCTTCGACTCCCTTAGGGAGTTCCTCCTCCTTACTCTCTGCCTGGACCTTTTCTAGGTCCTGTCTTAGTTGTTCTAACTCCTGGCGAGCTACTTGAGTGGGACCCAGAAGGGCATCTCTAATTGCTCTCCACAGGGAGAACGCCCAAGTGGGAAAGTCTTTTGGTCCCTTTTTCTTCAAGTGCTCTGTGAGATCATGTCTGACTTGTTCCCAATCCCTGGGGTTCAAAGCCCCTCCGAAAGCAAACCATGGACTGCTCTCCTGCACTAAGCTTATAAAGTCCTGCAAGGTGGAATTATGGACTTTTATTCCATGCTGCTTCAGCAGCGCCTTAAGGCTAACTGTTAGTTTCCCTTGTTGTCCCATTTCGTAGGGCACTGGGGTCGCTAGACATTTCTCTAGGACTATGTATGGGGGGTAGTGCACTTACCTGATTGCGGACTTATGCGCGCCGCCTCCGCGGTCCGAAGACTGTTTCGCTCCCGGTTCCTGGAGCTACGCCGATCTCGGTGGGACCTCCACTTGACACTGCCCGTCCAGTGGGCGGTGTCGGGGAGTTCGTGATTAGCGTATGAGAGGGAGAAGGAAAGGGTGGACACAATCACACAACCACTCATACAGTATAGGGAGAAGGCTGAGCCGAAGCTGTTTATTTGGGATCGGTACAATCTTATATAGGGTTAGTTGAGGGGGAGTGGTTACTTTATGACGCTGAGTCTATATAAGGCTAGGAATGTAGTCTTTGGCCTATGATAGGTTTAAAATGTGAAGGGAGGGCGGAGGGGTTGTGCTGTCCTGACGGGAGGGGCCCTGCGCTGTGCTCTGTGTTTCCATCTAAGTCTTGTACAATGTAGCTAGTTCTATCCAGTTTTCTTACCAGTACTGGTCTCTTTATCCGGCCTTTTCACGTGGGGGTTGAATTAGGCTAGCACTTCCTCTTACGATGTAGTTTAGTATTTCTGTTAACCCTTACAGGGACTCCTCTGTGGCCACACGCCACCTGCAGGAGGTGTGCGGCTCTAGCAAGCAGTTCTGGGCCCACTTTGTACCTGTATTTTGTCTTCTTAAATGCTCTTCCTTGGATTTACAGCCTGCCAAACTTCGTTCTGGGCTCAGCTCCCTGTCTTTGGCTTCATAGATTCTGATTCCAATCAGTTTTTCTTCCTTTGCTCAGAAGCCTCTGACCAGGGTTGCTACTGGTCAGCCATCTTCCCAGAATCCACCTTTATTTATTTAATTTTTATTTTTTCTGAGAAAGAATCTCACTTCATCATGCTGGTGTTGCATGCCATGGTGTCATCATAGATCACAGCAATGTTAATTTCTTGGAATTAGGTGATCTTTTTGCCTCATCTTTCCAGTAGTTGGGAATACAGGCACACACATCCTGCCACACACACACCCCCCCACACACAATGCCCAGATAGTTTTTCTATTTTGAGTAGAGGCAGGATCTCACCCTTCCTCAGGCTGGTTTCACCCTCCTGAGCTCAAGCAGTCCACCTGCCTTGACCTCCCAGAGTGCTAGGAATACAGGTATAAGCCATCACACCCTGCCTAAAGTATGGTTTTCTAAGATTCTGGCATTATCATGTCACATTATGTCTGATTTGTATCTGGATGGCATAGTATATGGAATGATTCTTACCCTTGCAGTCAACTACAATCCCTGGAACAGCCACATTGGCATCCCCTAAGGCAGAATCTCGGGTCCCAGCCAGACCTACCAAAATACAATACATTTCAACAAAGTCTGCAGGGCTCAACCCCTGTAGCACAGTGGTTATGGCACCAGCTACATACACCAAGTCTGGCAAATTCAAACCAAACCTGGGCCAGCTAAATAACAATGACAACTGCAACAAAAAAACAGCTGGGCATTGTGGCGGGCACCTGTAGTCCCAACTACTTAGGAGGCTGAGGGAAGAAAATCACTTAAGCACAAGAGTTTGAGGTTGCTGTGAACTGTGATGCCAAGGCACTCTACCAAGGGCAACATAGTAAGACTCTGTCTCAAAAAAACAAAAACAAAAACAAGGTCTCCAGGTGGTTTCAGGCACATTAAAGTTTGAAATGCATTGGTCATACATGTCATGAGATTATTGTGCACTGACCTTGACCTTGGAACTGAAGAAAGACTTGGGGAAGAGATGAATGGGGAGGTGGGAGGTGAGCAAGTGTGGGCCCTCCTTCTTATTTGCTGATGCAAACCCAGGCACAGTCTCTACCCGGGATGAGCGTTCCCAGATGGGCACAGACTGGACCCACTTGGTATCCCCCTTGGAGTGAATCAGACAGACAATCTCAATCAACCAATTTATTCCTGGATAAAGAAGGAAATATGAACATAACTCATTTCAATCTGACTGAAAAAATTCTGGTAAAATAGACATAACATAAAGTGTACCATTTTTAAGGATACAGTTTAGTCATGTTAAGTATGTTCCTATTGGTGCATAACTAACCTCAATTAATTTTTAATCTTCCAATTTGGAACTTTGTACTTCATAAACAACAATTCCACATTCCACTCCCCTCCCCGTCTCAGCCCCTGCCAACCACCTTTGTACTTTCCCTCTGTGAACTCCACTACCCTAGCCACCTTGTGTAAGTAGAACCAAAGAGCGTGAGCATTTTTGTGAGTGGCTCACTTAATTCAGTGCAGTATACACAAGGCTCATCCTTGCTCTAGCATGCATCAGCATATTCTTCCTTGTGAAGGATGAATCACACTCCACTGTAACTATAAGCTGCAGTTTGTTTATTCCTCACCTGTCAATGGGTGTTTGAGTTGCTGCCAACTTTTGGCCATTTAGGTTTTTTTTTCTTTTCACATTTATTAAATTAAGTTCAAAATACCAGATATTAGTGAAGATGTGGAGAAAGAAGACCCTGTACCTAGAAACATAAATTGTTGGCCATTTCCTGAGTCCAATAGTTCCCTTTGCTTTTGAGTTTTCAGGGCCCTGCCACTTGCAGGGCCTTTGACCTCAGTCTGGCCCATTTGCAGACTCTTACCCTCCAGCCCTGTTCTCAGTGACATATGATCTACATCTTTCAGTCCTTTGGATTTGTCGGGCTCTTTTCTGATTCCTAATTGTCACCCAGGATGCTTCTTTTATGTGAAAATATCCCTCCTCACTAAGGAATTTCCCTTTCACTCTTTTTATTTCAATTTGGATTCTGTTTCTTCTATTAGGACTTCAGGGGTCATCCTTCTCCTTGCACTTACACACACCCCAATCACTATTAGGGTTCACTCTTCTGAGCTCTCCTATACTGTAGATGATCCCTTCTGAAATTACACACCTTCCTGTGAAATTCCCTGACTGAATCCTTTTCTCCGAATGAAAATGGTGCTAGCCATTGCACTCCCCTCACCACAAAGCATTGCACATTGTCTGGCATGTAGAAAGTGCAACAGTCAGGCCCGGAGGTCGGGGCTCATGCCTGTCATCCCAACACTTTGTGAGGCTGTAGTGGGAGGATGGCTTTTAAGGTCAGGAGTTCAAGACCAGCCTCAGCTCTATTGCAAGACCCCATCTCTATAAAAAGTAAAGAATAATTAGCTTGACTTGGTGTTGCATGCCTGTAGTCCCAGATGCCTGGGAAGATCTCTTAAGCCCAGGAATTTGAGGCTACAGGAAGCCATGATTGGGCCACTGCTCTGCAGCTGGGCCACAGAGTGAGACCCTTCCTCACATATCAAAGAAAAGAAGAAAGAAATCACTCCAATCCTCTACTCAAATAATGAGGAACACAACCACATCATTTCTCAGTTCAGGATTCTGTTTCCTTACCTGATTTGGGGTAAGTCACTGTTACAACATCTTCATCCTTCAGCACAAACTCTTCTTGTACTTTTCTGAGGATTCCAGGGCTGTAATAAGCCCTCGGGAAAGTGATCCCTTTATACCAAAAGGTGTCGTCTGACATGATGATCTGCAACTTGTACTCGGTGTGAGGGTTTCAGGTGCAGCCAGTACTGGAGGCTGTGGCATCTGCGGACAGATGAGTTGTGAGTTAACCTCTGCCCAATTAGTTATGCATTTTGCTGGCTGGTACAGAGAAGTAAATATTCTGACTGACAGTCCAAAGGTTAATAATATAAGGGAATTGTGAACTCAGAAAACACTCTGGGGGGAGTCTGAGTTTGAGTTCATAGGAGTGAACTGGAAATTCAGTAACAAAAGCAAGCACATAGTAAGCTGTGCAAATCTGAAAGTACTTTTTATAAGAGTTGCACATTTACAGAAAAATTTCAAAGAGAGTCCAGAGGGTTCCCATAATCTACGGTTCATTCAGGTTTCCTTCATTTTTACCTAATGTCTTTTTTGTGCTTCAAAATCCCGTCCAGGGAGTCACATTACATATATTGGCCAACATTGCTGTCCACATGACCATTTGTGGGGCTTAGAGCACAGATGTCAGGCAGTGTTGCCCTGGGGAAGAGCTCGGATGGAAGGAGGGGAAAGTCTGTCCCCCAGGGCCTGAGGCTGACCCAGGGGTTGTCTGAAGCCAGCAGGCCTGGTCAGGGCTCCTCAGTCTATGCCATAATGCACACACCTGGTTCAGACTGAATGTTTATTTATTAACATATATACTAACTCTGCACCCTGCATGGCTTTCAGTAATAAGCATCCAGAAATGTACAAAATAGTCCCTTTTACATACCATGTGAATTTTTATCGGTAGCATTCGATTCAAATTTCCACACCTCAGAGAAGGTATAACACTTTCTGCTGTGAACAGCTATCACATAAAGTTATCTATTCCCAGTGATGTTATTTGGATCTGTGTGACCTTGGTTGGGCCACGAGAATATCAGCATGTGGAAGGGAACACGCCTCTGAAAAAGCAAACTGCTCGTTCACAGTGTTGTGATGATGACCATGTGTTCTGGATTCAGACAACCAATGTGTAAATCCCTTTCCTTCTCTATCCAGAGTCAAATCTGGGCTGGGAACTTGCTTGCTGTGTTTCCCTGAGCCAAAAACCTAAGCTATCTGTGCCTCTGTTCCTCCTTCTCTAAGGTGGGGGAAATAATAGTACCTACTTCATAGGGTTCTCAGGAATATTCAGATAATTTAACATTTTGTAATGTCCTTAGAGTCTGGCACAAAGGAAGCTAGAGTGTAGTGGCATGACCATAGCTCACTGCACCCTCACACTCCTGGGCTCAGGATATTCTCCTACCTCAGCCTCCTGAGTAACTGGGACTATAGGCGTGCACCACTCTGCCCATCCATTTTACTTTTTGTACAGAGGGGTTGTTGCTCTTGCTCAGGCTGATCTTGAACTCCTGAGCTCAAGCAATCCTCCCACCTGGGCCTCCCAGAGTGCTAGGAGTACAGGCATGAGCCACCATGCCCGGCCAATATACTTCTGTTTTGATCAACATTATACATTTGCTCTTAACCCCTTAAAGTACATGTTGATGTGTCTTTGCTTTATAGCTCTTGGCCTGTGAAATTTGTAGTTCTCAACTGTATTTGCTGTGTTACTCTCAGTGTCAATTGAAGTAATTTCCAGAAATCTTTTTCTGTTCTCAGTGGTTCTCAACCTGTGGGTCGCCACCCCTTTGGGAGTCAAAGACCCTTTCACAGGGGTCACATAATGTCAGATATTTACATTAGTATTCATACAATAGCAAAATTACAATTATAAATTAGCAGCATAAATAGTTTTTCGTTGGGGGTACCCAAACATGAGGATCTACATTAAAGAGTCCCAGCGTTAGGAAGGTTGAGAACCACTGACATCAATGCTGATGCTGAGAGCAGCCTCACACAGGGACTCCTGATTATCTAGGGTGTGTTTCCGTGCATTGTGTTCCCACACAGGCAGGTCCTATTTCCTCCCTCATCAGGGGAGCCAAACTTCTCCCTTGCCCTTCCCTGTCTGTTCACTACCCCTAGTTATCATCTTGCATTACTGTCTGTAATACAAGAGGTCACTGCCCGTGTGTTGGCACCAGATACATTCAAGCTAAGGAACATGGAGCCTGGGGCAGGTATGTTGGGCCTTTATTCAGCTCACAGCAGCCAGTGAGCAGGCATGGAGAGTCCAGAAGGTCCCCTGCACTACTATATCTAAGGAGAACAGTAGTGACACAAAGCTGAACAGAAGTCCCACAGTAACCATGTAGTAGTCCTCCAAAGGTGACATCACTGTGCACAGTAACGGCTGTAGTTACGACTATTGAAGGAAAACATGGTGGCTTCCTATAACTTAAAAACCACAGGCCAGGAAGCCCATGGACTCCAGCCCCCACTATCAGTATTTATCCCTGTATTGATACCCATATATTATTGCTTATGCTATTTTCAAGATGTCATGGGAGCAGAGGGCAACATCATTGCTTGGTGAATGTTATGTTCACATTTAGCAACTATTCTGAGTTGAATTCTCTTGCCAAAAATATAAATCAAACTCCCAACTCTAGGTACTTGTGACAATAACCTCATTTGCAGACAAGGTATTAGCAGGCATGATTGAGTTCAGATCAGGTTATTAGAGTGGGTCCTAATGCAATATGTCTGGTGTCCTTATAAGAAGAAAAGAGACTCAAAGAGACACACAGAATACACCTTAGATCAGGAGGGGTGGCTCACGCCTGTCATCCCAGCACTCTGGGACATTGAGACCACAGGATTGCTTGAGGTCAGGAGTTCCAGAACAGGGATAAGGAGAACTTATCTCTACATAAAAATTTCAAAAGGCGAATTAGCCAGGCGGGGTGGCACACATCAGCAGTGCCAGCTACTTGGGAGGGTAAAGGCAGGAGGATCCCCTGAACCCAGGAATTCAAGATTATAAAGAGCTATGGTTATGATTCTGTACTCCAGCGTGGGCAACAGACTGAGAACCTGTGTGTGAAAAAAGAAAAAGGAAAGAACATATGCCATGTAATGACAGAGACAGAGACCAGTGCGATGCGTTGACACCCCAAAGACACCAAGAACTACTCCCACCACCACATCTGAGAGAAAGGCCTAGAGCAGACTCTCCCCTGAGCCTGCACAGAGATCAGGGCCCTGCTGACAGCTTGATGTGAGAGAAGAAATCTCGGAGAATGCCTGCACAGCTATGAGAGTAGAAATTTCTGTTGTCTGAAACCCACCAGTTTCTGGGTCTTAGTTATAGTAGCCCTTGAAAATGAACCCCCACCCCAAAGCCATAGACCATTTTTGACGCATTGAGACCAATGAAGGAATACTACAGAATTTCTAGGTTGTCCAAGCTGTGCCCTGCAGGCCAAATGCAGATGATGAGGACTGCATTTCTTATTTGTGGTATCAGATATCCCCAAAAGTACAGATAGACTTTTTCATTATTTTGCTGATCTGCTTTCATTAGTGTTTGTATATTCAATGTGTGGCCCAAGACAGCTCTGCTCCCCCAATGAGCAGCAGAACATAAAAAAGCTCAAATTTTTGAACAGGTGGATTAGACAAATATGAGACCTTTTCCTACATTCCAAAATGTGAATTGCCGGGTGCTAGAGGCAGTAAGTGGCTTTCAGCACCTCCTCTCTGAAAACCCCCATCCCATGGGAACAGCTCCCA